AAACATTTTTGTCATTGTATGTTATTCTTTGGCAACTAGAAAGATATTGTTTACTTCTTTTTTGCATTGTTTTATTTTGGTTTATTTAGTTGAAATTATTTTCCAAGAAAAGACTCAAATTTCTGAAAGTTTAAGGTTCTCTATTTCCATTGATACCTTTGTACATAATGGGATGCCTCTATTTTAACTAAGGTCAAGCTCAAAAGCTCTTTCTCCCCCATCCTCAATCAAGCTTTTTATAGTTTTGAAACTATTCCATCAATCCATTTTATTTCTGATTTTTCTTTTGTTTCCCAGTTTTCTCATCATGAACCAGGTGTTACTCATGTCTTAGTTACCGGAGGTGCTGGGTATATTGGTTCACATGCTGCATTAAGACTTCTAAAGGACTCATATCGTGTAACTATAGTGGTAATTCATCTTTCCAACTGTTTGAATAGGCTCTTCTGTAATTGCTTATAGAGACTGTAATACTGTATTTTGTAGAGTTTACTTGTGCAGAAGTTTATAGATAACAAGATTCTCTCACATAACAGGACAACCTCTCACGGGGAAACCTAGGTGCTATAAAAATCTTACAAGCACTATTTCCAGAGCCTGGAAGGCTTCAGTTTATATATGCCGACCTTGGAGATGCAAAAGCGGTATCCTGTTTGCTCATATCAATTAATCTTTGTTATACAGATGAAATCTATAAATAACTTGTTACACTAACTATTGGAATTCAGGTGCATGAGATATTTTCTCAGAATGCATTTGATGCTGTGATGCATTTTGCAGCCGTAGCATATGTTGGTGAGAGTACCCTTGATCCACTAAAGTAAGTACTCCGTAATTTCTTTTTTTTTTTTCAAATTTTATTACAGCAACCATTACAGTTCAGCATTTTGTTGACTTTTAGTAAAAAAAAAGATGAGAATAAGGGTCAAATAGGCCATCGAATTGCACACGATAATGCAATTAGGCCACTGAACCTAAAAAAAACTACAATTGAATCCTTAAACCAACCAATTTCATGCAATTAGTCCAATTTGCAGGTTTTTCAGGTTTTTAACCGTCACCCCAAATTTAAAATATTTTTTAAAAATTATTATTTAAATTTTTTAACATGATTTTAATTTTTTATTTTTATCTTTAACTCTGGGTTTCTGGTGTTCATTGTGTTTCATACCAAATTTGAAACTTTTGCACAATCATCCAATTTTACTATCTAGCCTAGAAAAAAGAAAACAATTCAACCTGACCCAGAAAACTTTTCTATTAGTTGGCAACAAATCTAGTACCTTGTAATTGGCTATACATGAAACATTGAGATTGGAACGATCTTTTCTAAGTCGAATAGTAAAATTGAATAAAATTGCATAGAAGTTTTAAATTTGGTATGAAATTGCCAAATTTAAAAGGTTAGGCACAGTGGTTTGGATATTTTCCACCAAAGCTTAAAATTTATTTATTACTATACAAATTATATACTATTTTTTTTTCTTGTCTTGGCTTTGATTTTTGTTGTTTCTTCTGATTGTAAAGTTTTGTAATAGTATTTAAAGAATATAATTTTCCTAATTCCTATTTAAAGAGTATACTTTACCACTGACTATTAGAAGTGAGTAAGTGACATGATTTTAGTTTATTTTTATTTTTATTTTTATTTTTATCTTTAACTCTGGGTTTCTGGTGTAAATTGTGTTTCTGATATCTTGGGGTTACTGTTACTTTGCTACATTCTACATCTTATGTATAATCTTTTGTGTGAAATCAGGTATTACCATAACATCACATCAAATACCCTTGTTGTATTAGAGGCTATGGCAGCACACAGAGTCCCTACTTTGATTTATTCGAGTACATGTGCTACATATGGAGAGCCTGAAAAGATGCCCATTACAGAAGAAACACCACAGGTGAAATGTTAAACCTATATTTTACTGGCCTGTTATGAATGCTACTTTTTTTTCCGGGAGCCAGTATATGGGAACATTTCTGAATGGCTGAGCTTTTATGTCTCATTCCAGCTCCCAATCAACCCATATGGGAAAGCTAAGAAAATGGCGGAGGATATTATTCTTGATTTTCATAAAAATTCAAAGATGGCTGTCATGATTTTGAGGTTGGTCTTCAATATTTCCTTACTTTTGTATTAGTTCTCCTTTTAGTTATTTATTTTCCTTGATGTGGCAGTAGTTACAAAGGTGCTTGGCCTTTTATCTTTAATCAGTTACTTTCCAATTAAAGAGATGTGATTCTACCATGTTATTGTGAGGCCCTGTGCTGTTTAGTTCACAGCTCTTGCATTACATTAGAGTGGTATCACATTTCCAAAATTTGCATCTTTTGAAGGAGCCATATTTTTTAATTTATGCTAGAACTTGATTCATAGTACTTGTGTATATTATTATTTAGAGTTAATACTAGCCGGGTCTTCTGAGTATAATAGCACCGCCATGTTTAGTCCTAAACTTTCAATTTAACCACCTGTGATCCTTCAACCTTCAAATTTAACCACCTGCCCTTCCGTTAGTTCAAGTAAGGACAAAGTTAGGACTAGGGATGGTTACAAATTTCAAAGTTGAAGGACCATGGGTGGTTAAATTTGAAAGTTGGAAGGACCACGACCGGTTAAATTGAAATTTTAGGACTAAATGTGGCGGTGACACTATATTCAGAGGATCCCTGCTGGTATTAACTCTATTATTTATTATTTGGATCTTTATTTTTGAATTGATACGGAATCTAAAGATCTAAAAATTGAAGAACGAGCTCTTTTGCTCGCCCCTAAGGCAAATATGATGATGTAAGCAGCACTTGTTGTCAGGATTAAATATGACCATGTTTATGCATTTATTAAAATAATTTGATCATCCCATCTAGTAACATCAAATTCTTGTTTGAATTTTCAGATACTTCAATGTAATTGGCTCAGATCCAGAGGGAAGGTTAGGAGAAGCTCCACGTCCTGAGCTTCGTGAACATGGGAGGATATCAGGTGCTTGCTTTGATGCAGCTCGTGGAATCATTCCTGGGCTTAAGGTCCATTCATACTTCTACTACCTCACTACTAGAGTAGGATGGCATTTTAACCAATGATTCATTTATAATTGTAAATATAAGATTGGGTCAAGATTACTCAATTTGGCTATAATGCACATGAGTTAAACCATTGAATTCAATCAATTGGCTAGTCTAACCCATCGGCTCCCATCGAGTGGAGAACTGGGCCATTTTGAATATAACCTGTTGACGACTTTAAATGGACCCTCCCTCTAAAATGAAAGCTTGGACACCACCAATACCACGAATAAACCGAGTGAACACAGAGTGGACCGAACATGCTCTGATACCATGTTAGATTTAAGATTGGGTTAAGGTCACTCAATTGGGCTATAATGCACATGGGTCAAACCACACTAAAAGATTGAATCCAACCGATTTAGTAATCTAACCCATGGCCTTATTCTTCCATGTATTCTCTTATTTTTTCTATGTGGGACTCTTAACTATAATATATGTAAAGTGGATGTGTAGAACTTACTGTATATGAATCCTAACTTGTCGGATGCTGTGATGCAGGTTAAAGGAACGGACTATAAGACACTAGATGGGACATGCATTCGGGATTATATTGACGTTACTGATCTTGTAGACGCGCATGTTAAAGCACTAGAGAAGGCAACTCCTGGGAATGTTGGGATCTACAATGTGGGCACTGGGAGAGGTAGTTTTTCCCCGTTCTATAATGTGTTGTGATTGCTCAGAGATCGTGAAGTCTCGTTCTCATCTTTTTTCTTTTTTTCTTTTTGTATCTCGAGAACACAGGTAGATCCGTGAAGGAGTTTGTGGATGCCTGTAAGAAAGCAACGGGGGTATCAATTAAGGTGGACTACCTTCCCCGTCGACCAGGTGATTACGCAGAAGTATACAGTGATCCAACCAAGATCAGGCTTGAACTAAACTGGTCAGCAAAGCACACTGATCTTCAAAAGAGTTTGCAGATCGCGTGGAGGTGGCAGAAGTCGCATCTCAATGGCTATGGATCACCTCGAGCAATGGCTTCATAATAATCCATAGATTAATCGCGGAACATTAACAAGAACCCCATACATACACTATACATACAGCTCAGTTTTTGCTGATCTCGCATCGATATTTTGCAGTACCCCATTCATGGCAAGAGCTTTATTCGCTATTAGTCTTATTATACCATAGATTTGTGGGGTAAGGCCGGGTTGAGTTCAATATTTATTCTTTCACACCTATAGCCTATAGGTAGTAAACATAGTGAGGGTATTAGTAAAGCATGTAGGTAGAAGAAGCTCAGGCAGCTTATTTATCCATTCATTGTTATACTATACTAGTCAAATATAATTATACATGCGTTTTGATATAACGCAAGTTGAAGAGTATACATTCTGTATTAGTAAATATAATGATGAGATCTATATTGAGATTCATAACATCATGAGATCTATATATATAGAGAGAGAGAGTAATAATAAGCATCATGAAATGGTTTACATAAAATGTGGCTTTTCTTTATGTTTGTACTTATGTGTTTGGCATTTTCAAAGTCATTTAAGCTCTTTTTTCCCCTTTATAATTTTTTGATATATTTTTAATCGTAAGGCATTACATAATTCATTTATTGATTGAGTGGGTAGAATATGATTTTAATTTGATTTTGTGTAACATTTTTTCGATTGAGCTTGTTGCATAGAGTATTCTTAGTGTGGCTTACCTAGTGTATGGATAGTGGTGATGAATTTTCTCGTTACAAAAAAAGTTTGAATAATTATGAGATAATAATTTAGTTGAGTTGTTTGGTGCAATTTCAAAATTTTCTACTTTGTTGTTGGTGAAAGTGGAGTTTTTACAAATGAGGCCTATAGATTAAAAACATTTTAGGGAGAATTTGGTTCATGGTAGGTAAGATAATCAAGACTCAATCCCTAGTCATTCTTCTTAAATTTCACTCATGTGACCAACTAAGCTACACATGTAATAATCTACATCATTTCGTAGGAATCTACATTTTGTTATAAATATTAACATAACTAGTAGTTGCACCTGTGCGATGCACGGCCATATGTATAGTTTATGGAATATACAGTATGTACTAAAGCTTAAGAAATGTAATAAATTAAAAATCCCCACCAAATTGAAAATTGATTAAACATTGTTGAAGACTTCTTTGTACACAACATTTGTTGTCTTACTAAGACATGTTACATCTTCTCCGCAAATCAATACTTTTAAACCCGTAGGGTTACTGACTCTTGAAACAGCTACGTACATTTGCCCATGGTTAAAGACTGATCTATTTAAATACAATCCCACTCTTGAGAGCGTTTGTCCTTGACTTTTATTTATTGTCATGGCATAGGATAGCATCAAAGGAAATTGCTTTCGTTGGAATTTGAAAGGCAATCTTGGATCTGACGGTGTTAGTGACATCCTTGGAATCAAAACTGTAGTACCTGCATTTGTACCCCCCATTATTTTTGCTTCCAACACATGATCAGCTAACCTTGTTACAATCAATCTTGTACCATTGCACAAGCCAAGAGTGTGATCAATATTTCTCAAGAGCATAACGGGTGACCCAATTTTCAAAGTCAATGCATGATTAGGTACACCAGAACATCGCAGACCATTCAAGAATTCTGCAGTGTGCAATTCCGCTAACATATCTGCATTAGAATCTGACTTGCAAACTGAATCACAACTCAAATAAGTCCTAGCTTCACTTGGATTTTGATCATTCATGTATTGGTTAATGATATCTACCATATCCAATGTTGGTGCCAATATGGCACTATCCTCAAGGTATGATAAATCACCATTAGCGCTTCTAAACAACGGGAAAATGCTATCAACAATTGTAGAAATAGTATCACCATCACATTTAAGTAGAAACTTATCTAGAATTGTTAACTCTGCGTCACCATCCGTTGAATTTCCAATTTTCCCGTCACCTATATCTGCTATCCAGTTTGCAAACTCTTCAATCTCTTTGGCCTCTATTTGCGATTTTACACGTCTTAGGCGTAGATTTTTTGTTAGCCTAAATACTTTGCATGATCTCCAAAGGTATGATGAATTTATGCTCGATCCAACAATATATTGCCTTGTGCCCTTTGGAATAACCGGAAGAATTTGTCTAAAATCGCCACCCAAAACAACTGTTTTACCACCAAATGTCATTTCACAGCTTCTTGGATTTGTGGAGCGCAATAAATCACGCATAGTTCGGTCTAGGGCTTCAAAGCAGAACTTGTGCATCATTGGAGCTTCATCCCACATTATCAACTTGCTTTGCATAATAAGCTCAGCCAACGGGGTGCCTTGTCTTATGTTGCAAGTGGAATCTTCATTAACAGATATAGGTATTGCGAACCTAGAATGTGCTGTCCGACCACCTGGTAGCAGAAGAGAAGCTATGCCGCTAGATGCAACATTTAGAACAATTTCACCCTTATGTCTTAAAGCGGATGAAAGTGCTCTCCACAAGAAGGTCTTACCAGTACCACCATATCCATAAACGAAGAAAAATCCACCAGCTTTGCTTTCAATATCTGTTAACACCTCCTCGTATATTACCTTTTGCTCATCTGTCAGTTGACTAACCAAATCGTTATTCTCTTTCTCCTGAGCAACACGATCATATGCCAATTCTTCTTGTATCAACCTATTTGATATTAAATTATATGTCTCCAAATCTGCAACTGGCATTTCTGGAAAGTCCTTAAGATTCTTTCCCATTATTGATAACAATTTTTCAATCTCAACCAACGCAAAATTCATCTTTTGATTGTCATTCAACACAGAATCTGCAATGATTTGAACCATTAAGTGAATACAAAATCAATGTGTTTTGCTTGAGTATGTTATTCTAAAAACAACTGAAAATAAAATGCAAAATATATAGCCAGAATAACTTGTGTACCTGAATTTTGCAATTGTTTCCGAACTTGATATTGTGCATCTTCAGACAAATGTTGCCACACGGCATACCAAATAGCTTCAGGTTTACCTATACAGCTGGTCATTAACAGTGTAACAAATAACCTCCTCAACTTATCTCCAGAAGCCCAATGACTTGCTTCCTCTATTGCATCTATATATTCTTTGTCATCATCAACTAAGCCTCTAGCATAACACGCATCGCGGAATGAATCATATTGCACACCATTCACAATCTTTATATCAGCAAAAGATGTAGGACCACGAACTTTATTCAACAAACATCTTAAATAAAAAATTTCACCAGTGCCAGGTGGGACGTAAAAAATCCTTCCTATTGCGAATCCTTTTTTCCTTGGCTGCCATTTTCGTAGTTGTTTCTTCCACACAAATTTCGTTGGCATCTCAGCATAAGTCATCTTTCTTGCCTCTGGAAATGTCTTGTTAGCCTCAAACCATTCCAAGAACATGCTTTGTCCTATAGTTGGTCTATTCACAATGTTGTCAACTGGATCGTCATCGGCAAAAATCACACTTTGTTGATTGGGTAAGTGAAAGCTTAACCTTTCCACTGATGGAGCCTAAGCTGTATATCAAAGCCAAACAACCGCTATACAGCCTCGCAGGGTGAAATGTACCTACAGTCATAGTACATATTAATCTCATCTACAGATTTTCCAACATCTGAATCATTGCTTGTTTTGTAGAACTCGGCTGTTACCATGTCGTGTCCCTTATTGACATATTTGAAAAGGTACTTGATTGAACAGGACTGGTTGCACCACTCCACATTTATATGAGCCTTGTATTTAAGCAATAAATGTCTGTTGTGCGGTACAACATACTTGTTGTCCAAGACAATGCCATTCTTTGTTATTGTCCTTCCATTTTCTCGACGTCTATATAAGGGATACCCATCATCATCAAAAGTAGAACATTCCAAAAATTTTTTGGGAAAATGTTTGGAACATCTTCCTTTCACCATACACGGAGAATTTAGTCTAGCTTTTCCGCATGACCCATGCATCATAAATTCCTCAACAGCTTTGTAGTATTCTACATCCATATTTTCATCAGGTATCTCAGCTGAAATTATTTTGTCTAAAGCTCCAACTTCACTAACTTCATTTAGTTTGTCCAAAAAGAGCAATATATGCGCATGCGGGATGCCTCTTTTTTGGAACTCAATGGTATATATAACTGTGAAATAAATAATGAATATAATTTAGGAAAAACAATCTTAACAAGATGAAATAGTTTAAAAAAAAAATGTACAGGGGTTTACCTCCAGCAACCGATCCAAACAGTTGCTTCTTTCTACAATCGGCTATCAAGTAATCGAGCTTCATCTTAAACAACCTGCAAATTATGTCAGGACGGTCTTCAGCTTTCAAACTATGGTCATTAAGGAAACGTTACACCTCAGGCCACTTTGGGTTGTAGGTAAAAGTTATAAATAAATCCGGATATCCAATCCATCTACAAATAGCCATCGCATCGTGGTAATTTTGTATCATGTACCTTGCTCCGCCAGTGAAACTCGATGGTAAAATTATCCTACGCCCCTGAGTTGATGGATTTATTTCACCCCGAGTTAAAGCATCTGTCAACCCACTATATGATTCACAATGTAAGCTTTTTTGGTGTGTCCTTATATAGATGAGTCTTCCTGACTCAACCATTGTATATCCGTCAACAACAAATTGTTGGAATAACCTCTTCGCATGTAGTATTGTACTGACAACCTCTTTTCTTGATTGTAAGCGATAACAAAAAAATTCCTTTGGACTAATCCTTTGTCTTCCGCCAGCACCACAGTTGCCCTTTATGTTAGAGAAGACAATGTCTTCCCTATAACCATCTTCACCATATGGAAACAACAATGGGTATTGAAGTGGCAAGTAGGAAGGGTTTAATTCACTTATTCTTTGTAGCTGGCCGCCCTTAGTTTGAACGACAATGTCACGCTCACCTATACTGGTATCAAGATCTCCAACTATTAATGCAGCTACTTCAGACACTTCAGGTAAATTGTATGTCCTAGCATCTTTCTTGCGCTTGCCTAGCAATTTTATCTTGACTTCAGCGCAGGGATTTCTATCCATTTCTGACTTAGCCATACGAAATAACTTAACCAAGACATTATTTTGATCCAACTCACCTTGAATGACATTCACTATGTCTATATGAATGTCATCTTGATTACAACCATCCCTGTATTAATTATGAAATGAATATATACTTTATATAATTGGTTTAGACTCAATGATCATAACATAAGTAAGCGAAGATTAGGTTTACCTCACAGCATTGATACGGTTTATTTGTTCATTGTTTGTGTCGTATATGTATAGTTGGGCAAAATGTGGTGGCTTGCCTTCTTGTGGAAGTAAACTTCCCATTAAATGATAGTTCTGTCCATTTAATCGGAATACAGGGGGCCCGCCTCCCTTGTTCACGGTCCTGTCAACCCTACCTCCCATTGATGTGAAGCAAAACATGTTGTTGTATGTCCTGATGTTTTGTAAGAATTTCCTAGATAGTTCACATTTGCCGAAAAAAAGATCGCTGATACCTTTGGGTGGCAAGGGTAATGTGGGCAACTTAATTTTACCACTGTTGCAACACATGGAAAATCGCGGTGCTCCCTTAGTCACGGTTTTGTTCTGTCTCTCCTCAAACCAAAATAACGCACCACAATGGTCACAAGTATTTGTAGCGTCTCCAAAATCACAATATTCAACTGCATTAAAAGGTAATATTATGATGCGGTATTAATATTGCACAACAACTATTAATATTATATTGTGCTACGTACCATTAGAAACCGCGGGTGTGGTAGCAATATCGTTGTTCTGTGGTTTTCTGTCAACATTTTTAACCAAACTTGTAGCAGTAATACTTGCTTCTGTAGGCAAGGGAATATTTGATACTTGAAATTTAGATAATTTTTGAATTTTCCAATAATATAATAAATTAGAATAAAGTAGTAAAGGGTTTGGAAAAAAAGTTAACAAAATTAAATAAAAGGCGTAAAGTATCCCTATATTTAACTAATGAAAGCATATATATAGAAATTAAGGAAATACCGGTTGAACAAATATCTGCTGCTCTAATCGGTGCAGGAAGAGATTCTTCTTCGAACGCTAACAGCAAGTCCCTATTTAGCTCATGTGGAGGTTTAATAGTACAACAATTTGTACCGTCTAGGATTTTGTTGCATCCACTATTAACATTCGATATGTTCTTGAACGGTTGTCGCGTTGGTACTTTATGTTGTGTGTTACAACCTATTGTCAAAGTTCATAGCAAATGAGCTATAGTATCAACGTAATAAATTAAAACGTACATTTATGATTTTTATAGAAAGTTACCAGTTAATATAGATGTTGGTACGGAGGATATTGACTCTTGTAAGTGTCCCAAAATGAAAACCTTTGATTTGTTTGAGCCGAATTTTTGTGTTATGTTCCGCCCACTTAAGTGTATATTGCAAGTACCTTTGTCACACATAGATAAATATTTAAGTTAAACACAATATCGAAATAGACAAATAGATTCAATAACTAAATAATAACTAACTAAAAAATTATATATGTATATTTGAAATATATGTAAATGTACATCGCTATAATATGTAATAGTTTTACCGTTTTTTATAGTACTCATTGGTGTAATATTTTGAGTAGAACAACATCCAGATGAAAGTCTTCTAGGGATACTTGAAGCGTTTTCGTCTCCAACTGGAGGGTTTTCCTTTGTTGGTGAAATTTTTTCAAAATTCTCTGCGATATAGGTAAGTAAAGTTAAGTAATTAGACCAACATTACACAACATAAATGTCCAAGTATAATTATCAATGAAAAGCTAATAACATAACTATGATGAATTATTCATGTACCAAGGTCCACCATATGGTGTGCACCCTATATAGAAAGTATATTGTTATGTAACGTGTTGTTTCCCTATAAGTACGAAAATTGAATAATTATCAAGATGATTTAGAATTATTTATTAGACTCTTATATTAGTACATTCCATTACAACACAATTTCTAATATTTCTTCGCAAAAATATAATTTATAAAGTTGTACGTTCAATTTAAAAGTAATATTGAATAAGACAAAAAATAGAGTTCTATGAATACTTTCAAAAACGTATCTAATATACATGGAAGCTTAGAATTGTGTATTATGTGTCAAATAATATTTGACGACATAAGTATTCTATGATATCCTATTTATCCATTACACGACAATTAATTCATTATATCATTGTACTAAACATACTAATAAGTGGTAAAAATAAGGCCCAAGCTAAGTAAAAACACAATACTTAACCAATAGACTTACACTAACCAGCTCCATTAACCCGACCCACCAACCCTTTCCTAAACCCGACCCAAAACCCGGAATATAAATTCGGAGTCCAACCTTCACTTCTACCGTACCCGACCTTTCGCATTCCTTCCGCCTCTCTCGCCTTCGTCGGAGACAATCGCCTTCCGTAGGTCTCTCTCCCTTTCCTCCTTACATCTCTCACTCTGTCCGAAAGCTTGGTAGCAAGAATGTCGCCGACAGTATCTATGGTGTTTGCGTGAACTCTTTCGGTTGTAGCTCGATGGAGTACAAACCCTAAATGTAAACTATACAGCTGAAATCTTCAGTTTGTTTCCTTCGCTTTAGTTTCTCTTTCGAATTACCATCATGGAAATTACCGATTTCCTACTAATATCAGCCAATACTATAGCTTTATCCTATTCTTCGATCTAGGGTTTTGTTCTCTCCTAACCCTAACATGTGTTCGAGACATCAATTGCTCGGCGTGGATGAGTCCGACATCATCGTCCAAAACCAGAAGTCCAGAAACAACATATAAGCTAAGTATATCTAAGATTTCTCATAATTTGTCAAGTTTTAGATCTCAGTTTGCGAATTTGAAATGATTCAAATGAATTGCTATGAGACATGCTTTCTGTCCGTAATTAATAGCTGAAATTATATAGCTAGCTGCATTTAGCCTATGTTTTAGAAGTCACATTTCACGAATTTTTTACCTTCTGTAATTGTTAGATTTAGTGTACTAATATTTGTAAAACAAATTGTTCATATTTGTCAATTAAATGTGTTTTGCAGGGACAGAAAGTCTGTGATGCATCATTTGAAATAGGATACAGTAAACAATCCAAGTTGTTGACAGTAATGGTAGCAAAAGTCAAGTAAGATTAGAATTTTTGTGTACCTTTTTGTTGTATTGAATGCTTCCTCTTTGTGCCTATGATTGTAGAAGTTGTAATTTGCCTCATTGCTCTGAAAATGGTTTAATTTGCAATATGATATGCTGTGTTTGATATACATGAATTATGAACTGTGTGAATTATAACTATCTTATTTGATGTTGAGTAATTATAGTATGACTCTTCAGTTTTTCTTGAAATTGGTATTGGTGTGTGCCACTTTATGTACTAATTAAATACATGTATTCCTGATATTGTCAGACCTTATTTTTTCGAATGACATGACTAAATTATTTGTTCCTAGATTCTGGCAAATGATGACTCAAAATTCTGATGCCATTGTTTTGATTAACAATTCATCCTCTCTAATTAGCGTACGTGTGAGGTGTTGTACTTAATCTGTTCCTTAAAAAGGTGGATTCCAAAATTTTCCTAAACTCAGATTTTCTTTTTTCAGATTACTGCCTTGTATACATTTGCTAATATGGCAAATGATGAAATCAAATTCTGATGCCAAATTGTATTTTGAATGGTTGTTTGTTGTGTCCTATCTTTTTGCAGCACATATTAACCCCATACACACTATATAAGAATGTATTTTTTTCCACAGATTTTGGGTAGTGATGTAAAATATATTTGCAGATCATTTTTTTTTTCAACGCTGTATAGTATATTTTTAGTCTAGGATTAGTCAACTCATCGGTATATGCAGTTTTTCAAATAATTGATACAGGGTTTCAAGATATAATACTTCATTGCAAACAATAGAGTGATTTGTTTGTTTCAAATTCGATTTCTTTCAAATTCACAAAACTCATTTGTAAACAGTACATATACAATGGGGATATAACTATAGAAACCCCTTTCGTTCATTAATTCACCTTGCAGTTCAATATTTTTGAAAAAAAAAAAAGAATTAATTTATATACTACAGTGATTTATAATACAAAGTACGCGAGTAATTGAAAACCCCAATTTTTTCATAGTATACTATATAATGAGTCATTTTTACAGCTCCAATTTAACGAAATCATGAAGGGGGTTTTTATTTTTATTTTAGATTAAGTATCAATCTAGAACATCGAACTGTATAATAATACGTATATCTTTCATAGAAAAACCAAACTTTTTAAACAATACAACACAGACAATTGTGGTTTTACTTCCCTTTCAACTAAAGGATGATACTATAGATAAATGTGACTTTTTTTAAAAAAAAAACTGTATGACCGCCATAAAGTTTGTGGCGTTAATTTGTTGTTTGTTTAAGTATCATTACAGAAAGTCTTATTGTATTATGGAAAGATAATTTCATACTAAATAAACACTTTTTTTAACAATAAAGTATACAGTTTAGGGTATACTTATCGATCTAAGTGTATACTATGTATAAGTTTCAACTAAAAAAATAATTTTTTTAAGAATCAAGTAGAGGAAAATTGTTTTTAGTTCCCTTTCTGGCCTACTGTTATGAGATTTTAGACATTTGATGCATTTTAATTAAATGAGTTTTAATTTTTTCTAAGTTGTTGTGTTAATTTGGTGTTTGTTTAAGTATCATGCAAGATACTCTAAGTGTATTATAGTATGTCTTAAAAAATACAGACTTTTTTTAACAACAAAGTCCACAGTTTTTGATGGATTTAAAATCAAACTGTTTTATTTTTTTTCCTAAGTTGTGGTGTTACTTATCATGAGATTTTAGATAGGAAAACTGTTTGTGTGAACCTTTCTGGTCTACTATCATGAGATTTTAGATATTTGATGCATTTTTTTAAACTGTTTTGTTTTGTTTTTTTTTTTTTAAGTTGTGGTGTTAACTTGTTGTTTGTTTAAGTATCATGCAACATACTCTAAGTCTAGTTTAGTTCCCTTATAAAAAAATTATAATATTTTAGGAATTTGATGCATTATTTTTAAAAAAATCTGGTCTAAAGATTTTGAATTGTCTATACTGTGCAAAGTCAAATTCTTAGCAATATAGTATTTGCTGTTTGTCCTAGGAAATAAAATAGGAAAAAAATAACTTACAATAGTATCCTTAAGTAATTATGTTATATAATTAGGAGAAATTAAAACATACAAAAAACAACAATAAGCACCAAAATAGCCCAGAATAATTATCAGTTAAACCAAAACAGAGTCAAGAAAATGTTTAGTGCAATGCAGAAATAAAAAAGAAATCAAAACAGCTCAGAGGCTTAAAGTATTGTTCAGATGTGTTTTTGAAACAATTCAGTTCATCTTCTCCTTCTTAATGCTACCACCCTTTGACCTTTTGCTCCCTTTTGAGGATGAAAACTGATCCAGCAATGACCTCTTAGTAGTAGGAGAATCTGCTTGAGCATTAACTTGGGATTCTGAGGGTCTTGTGTTAGCAGGACTATTGACCTCTTCTTCTTTAGAGGCTTCATGCAAAACAAAATGTAGAACAAAAAATTAGAAATTACTTAATGTATTTAAGTAAAAGATAGGGTTTAGTTAAACACAAATCACCTCAGAATGTTGAGAAGTGTTCTCATCCTCTTCTATTTGCTGTGACATTAGGTCTTTTTCTTCATCTTCAAATAATCTAGAACAATAAGCATCTAACAACTGCTCGTCCCTTAGAACCCTCATCACATTGTAAGCTGGATTATTGCCTTTCATTTGAGCTCTTTTAATCCCCACTTTAAAAATCATTTTTAAACCAATCACCACCTCAATCTCAGTGGGGATGTCAACATCGGCCTGATAAGTAATACGATTAGTAAAAAAAATAATAGAAATTTTAGAAGGCTTATACAATTGGTAGAAGCAAAAGAAGTACCTTTTTGTACTTCTCATACAACAAAGTAGCAGGAATGCCAACTAATTCTGCAACTTCCCTATCCCAGAGCAGGAAAGTTGCATCTGTGGTTTTGTCTAAGACTCTCACCAAAAGCTTATATCTAGCGGTACCTTCCTCAAATTGTTTTACACACTTGTCACAGCTTAAGACCCCTTCGATTGCTTTAAGCTTCCTGTTACAGCCAGGTGTCAGGCATGCCATGTAGTACCAATCGTCTGTAGAAGACTCTATTGCCATAATTTCACCAGGAATATAGTAATCCCCATCCTGAAAAAATTGTTACAAAAAGTATGTTTAACACCACAAAATAGATTTGTAAGAAAGCTTGTTAATATGTAATTAACAACCTGCAGCTTAGATAGATCAAAGATTGTAGACACAATCCTTTCACCCTTTTGGAAACTCTCAATCCCTATGGACTGGGAGTTCAGAGTCACAGTGCTCAGACTTTTAATTGGAGTCTCTTGAACTTTTAACCTGCAAAAAACAATCAGAATTTGAATCAGTAAATGACACTCATTTAGACCTCATAAATGGCAGGAAGTTTATGCATTACATAGACTTACTGAGATTTGAAGTCCTTGAACTCATCAAAATCACCATTCACCCAGATCTTAGTTGCATCATACGATGATGTTATTCTGACCTCACCTAAAAAAAACACACATAGAAAAAACATAGCATTGGTGTCTATTGCATAAAATAGAGGAGGACAGTATAAGGTTCAAAGACTCACCACTAACCACCTTCGCCCTACAACATTGAATAACTACAATCACTGGTTCATTTGAACTTGAATTGTAGTAGGGCAGTAGAGACTCAACATGAGAATCCCACAAGGTACACATCAAGTAGTTATCACTGTTTTTGGTAGGTAGAAAAGGAAAATAATTAAATATAATAAACAGAAAAGGAAACTTATAAAGTGGAATCAATAAAGAAACAGTAAAACTAAAGGAAATAAGCAATATGAAAGTCAATCTAGATTCATAAGAAAATCTGAAAGGAAATATGCAATCTTGTAATGGAACAAATAAACAAAAAATATAAAACTTACGCATTATCACAGATTTGAAAGTCAATCAGTTTTGTGGCTTTACCACCCACAATCTTGTCTACAGGGTTATATATCTCCACCACACGACCTATAACATCTGAAACATATTTAAAGAATATAAGCAGTCATTACATGCCTAAGCAGTTGTATTAGTAATAGTACAATTAGGGTTTTACCAATGAGCTCCTTGTCATTAACTTCCTTGGGATCTTTCAAAGACTCAAAACTTGTAAGCCGAAACATAAAAAGTGGAAAGCCTATAGAGTTGATCTGTTTGACTTCTGTTTTGTAATTAAACTTGAGCATATACTTATGCTGGGTGACCTTGTAAAGGTAATAGTTTGTAACAGCATAGAAGTTCTTTATCTCATACAGTTGGCCTTCTTTTAGCACATCTTTGTATTTGACAACATCTTTATTCTGAATATTAGCATGTATATAATCTCCCTATACAGAAATGTAAATACAGTGTGCTTAAAATATGAGCAGTAAGTGATATAGAAATTTAGATTGAATCATGCTTCTGTTTTACAAAACTATTGCTGATTTACAGTGAACATGTAAACATGCTTCTGTTTGCAAATGTAGTTAGTAAACAAATATAGAAGCTATACATGTACAAGAATGCTATATATATAGAAACATGCTTCTGTTTGCAAATTTAGTCAATAAAAAAATATAGAACCTATACATGTATAGGAATGCTATAGGATGCCAGTTGGTTGACAAAATTGAAAATAATCCCCGACTTTTACAAATAGGAATGCTATATATATGGAAAAATGCTTCTGTTTGCAAATGTAGTTACTAACAAATTATAGAAGCTATGCATGTATAGGTATCATATAGGATGCCAGTTGCTTTACAAAAATGAAAATAATCACACCTTCTGTTTTACAAATACGAATGCTATATATATGGAAACATGCTTCTGTAATACTTAAATCTTCTGTTATTCAGTGAATGTGTAAACATGTATATACTTTAAGATGAATTAAATAAAAATGCTATAGAAGTGTACCTGATCATCATGGAGAAGACACTCCATACTCTTGACGTTACTACCTACCCTCCTCTCAGGCACATCATAGATCCGTACACAACGTACTCTAATTCCCCTTTGCTTGTGGACAGGATGGATATCTTTGATAGCAATGAACAGGGAAGGCATTGTACTACTATTTCGAAGATGGAGAATAGTGATGGGCAGGGTTTAGGGTTGAATCAAATGGACATCAAAATCTGGAGGTAGCCTTTTATATGCAACAATCACATTTTGAATTACACCTCTCGAAGAGTTTTCATGATGATCAAGCCTTGGAACACCAAAAATGCATTAAATGCTGGTGTTGGTTTAAATTTAAATTCTATAATCTTGAGTTATGTAAATAATTTCCGTCTTTATTATATTATATCACCAG